TGCTGGATTGCAGCAGATGATTAAAACAGGACAATGCCAATTTAAAAGTCGTCTATTGTAAACTAACTTATTGGCAAAGAAATTACCTTGTTATTAGAAAGTTTACATTTTATTTATTTTTATCAGTCACTATTGACATTGGCTATTCACTTTCTGCACTTCTCTCAGCTTGGCCAATCAAATAACAAGGAAGACAGTTTCACTTTCAGGTCCTCAGCATGCAATGTTTGGGCTGTAAACAATCTAGAGGGATGTTTAGTTGTTTAAAAACAATATATGGGAGGAAACATTTCTATTAGGTTATATTTAACTAGATAGTAGGGTGACTGCTCTTCGTATTTTCCATCTAGGCCCCCCTCGCTCCTGTATCTGAGTACTTCCTATGCATTAAATGAGTTGCAGAACACCTCTGCGTGGTAGAGAGGTAGTAGTATCCTCATTTGACAATGGAATAGTGAGGCAGCAAGATTAAGTGGCGTGCCCAAGGTCACACAGTAAATGGCAGAGCTGCCTCCAGATTCCTGGTCCAGCAACTTAACTACAAAATCGCCCTTCTTTTCAAATACAGAATGTCCCATGACCTATATCTTCTAAGGCTTGATGCATGTGAATAGGTGAAAAGTATGTTTTCACATGCAATTATCTTTCAATTTGTGATTTTTGCTATAAATAGTACTGTGTAATAGTGTTCCTTAAAACTAAGCTTTTTCCTTTATTTCCTTGAAATATAGCTGGTTACCCTTTTGACCGTGTCCCTTTTAAAGAACACATTTAGTGCTTTTCTGCCTGTGTGTATGGGTTAGGGTAAAAGGTTTCTAAAGGAATTTCAAACACAGACATCTAAAACTATCTTGGGCTAAATTGTACAAAATCCGCAACATTTATTCATGTCCAAAGACTCCATTTAATGGTAGCGTCCAGCTTTTCTATCCCAGCTGAAGCAATAGAATTGCTATTCCCCAGGACGGACTAGCAATTTTGAATTGATTTTAAAGGCTCAATTAGGGGCTACATAACAGCCCCTGGCTAAATTCCCAACAAGATAAAAGTTTACAGCATAGCATTAACTGTTCTATTTCTTTTAGGTCAACTATTGTGTAAGAGGTTATTTTACCTTGAAAAGCAGCCAGACTTATCCTGAGGCAGCAAAGCTGCAATTCAGAATTAAATAGAGCCTGGACAGTACTATCAAGTTAAAATTCACATTTAATTACATGCATTAATAATCTTATTAAAGTAGGCCTAATTTCAAAAAACTTACTTCTCACTAGTTTTTAGTTTTCTTTTTGCATTTTTTTCTGCTTGGGCAATGAAAATAAATAGTCTAGTCAGTTTCACCACTTTCACATTCTCTTGCACTGGTGAGCTGTTGCAAATGTTGTAGTTACATCCATTGAAGGGGAATTTTTTTTTTTTTAATCAAAACTGATTCCACTGAAACATTTTTAATTATGTATCCATTTCTATTGCTAGTCTGTTGCTTGCTTTTAAAAATTTTAAGTGGGCCAAAGTAGACTTGATAATGCTCCCTTTAAAATGTTTTTATATTGATTTTTTTTCATTGACGCAATACAGGATCTATAGTGCATCCAATTTCAGAAAACTTTTGCCTTTTAATGCAATAAATTTGATTTGTACATAATTAGCTTTTGCAATTAGTGTAATATTTTATGAACAGGAAGTAACACTTAGCACCACTACTCAATGCTTAACATTTCACAAACTACTCATATGTTAACCATCCACTAAGGCAGGGTAACATTGCATATTTTACAAATGGAGAAACTGGGACAAAAGTTAAGGATGGGATTTTCAGAAGAGCTCAGCACTGGCCTAATTTGTATCACATTGCTTCCCAACAGTAAGTGGCAGAGCTGAGAATTTGGAAGTACGTAGGCCTGAATCCATAAAAGGACTTGGGTGTTGTGATGCAGAGCATTGCAATGCCTGTTAGTTACCTAGAAAAATCACAGGAACACCACTGCAATCCACAAAGCCTGAGGTAGGGACCTAAGAATGCAACCCACAAAGCCAGTGTGCTAAGGGGGAGCTACCGAAGGCAGCCAAAGAGAAATGTGCACAAAAGGGATGTGTCCTAACTCCCACTCCTGACATGAAGATAGGTGCCTAAGCCTGAACTAGTGATCCATGAAGTGGCAGAAGATGGACACGAGTGACTCTATAATGAAGTGCAGTGGTGCCTAAAAATGGGATTTAGGTTCCTAAATCTGGGTATTAGGCACCCAAACACTTTTATGGATTGGGGCCCTAATGTTGAATCCTGTACTCCAGCCATTAGACCACACTATCTCTACACTCTAAAGCAGTGGTTCTCAAACATTAGCAACCCGAGGACCCCCATTTTGATTTAAAAATTTTCAGACTTCCAAGCCCCCTGCTCAGCCCCTGGCCCTGCCCCCACCCCTTCCTGTCCCCACTCCTTCCCCTCCCTCCCAGCACCTCCTTCCCTGGCGTGCAGGAGGCGCTGGGAGGAGGAGTTGTTGCGGGAGGGAGGGGGGGAAGAGTTGATCAGCAGGGCCTGTAGACCCCCTGGAGTACCCTTGTGGACCCCAATTTGAGAAACACTGCTCTAACAGATACAAAGTATGCAGACTGTATAACAGAGTGGGAACACTAATTTATTTTATTCTCTATTAGATTTGTCAGACAAGGGGGGGGGAAAGCACTTTGTAGCAAACTGTGGACAACAGGTAAACTGAAAACGTGGTAGAGAACGTTCTCAGATCAGGTCAACTAGTTGAGATTCAGTCTTATTTGGCCCCTGTGGTAAAGCATTTAGTAGAAACTTCCAGGCCATATAAAAAAAATCAAGGTTCTTGTTCCTTTCGTGATCAGAAAGTCTTTTTGTGGACCAAATGCTGAGGAGCATAGATTTCCTTTTAAGATATTGAATGTGAGTGTTGTTGATCCAACCCACAATGATACACTTATAGGCACATGCAACAATATGTTCATTATCATTGTTATAACTGTCCTCCCTCTGTTTGTTACACCCACTTGTCACATCTTGTCTTAATTCAGCTGGAAAGCCCACTGGGAGATGGCTCCTGTCTGGGTGCTACTGATGTACAAGTAAACTTGAAAACCACATTTCCCTTCAGCATGTTGACTATATTTACTATTGTCCCTAACTGCTGATTTAGCACATGAAGCCTTGAGGGACAACTGTTTTGAAATACTAGATGTAAGAGCATATTTCCTTAATAGCTAGAGGCCACACCATGGGTTGTTAGAAATTGGTAGACAGACAATAACATTATTGATGGGCTGAGTAAAAATATAGGACCAAACATTGCTCGAGTCACATATATACTTTTAATACTAGCATGTGAACAAATATTAGCAGCCTTTGTTGCTGGCAAGCCACCTTGAACTTCCCATATTACTAAATGGGGTGTAGAGGAGGCAGTACGAGCCACTTCCCAGCTAGATGGAGAGAAGGGTCCTGGTGTTTCTTTAGTATGGAAAAAAATGAGAACCTCTGCTGTAAAGTTGCACTAGTGATTAGATTCTGAAACTACACCATGCCATGGTTACATGTGCCAGCCTTGAAATTACCCCCAGACTTAAGCCTCAGAAATGTATGTGTACAAGAAATCTAACAAACAAAAGATCGGAAGCAGCAGGTAAATGTCAGATATAGTGTTTTTAAAGCCTCAGATTGTAAGCCTCAGATTGCTTTTATTGTACAGGCTAAAGACTCAAATAGGGTTAGGTTACATACATTATTACACAGTGCATATGTGCAACAAGCTTGAAGTATCATTAAGCTACCAAATCAAGAACTATTGATGTCACCTAAATAAAAAGTTGGTATCTTTAACCTCTTTCATACAAGTCAAACTGATATTTCTTTATGTACAGATGGTATTTGTGGACTAGTTAAAGATAATCTAAAAATCAGAGCTTTAACCATAACCCTTACAATGGATAACTTCATAACAGGCACTCCTAGTTTATGTACTTGACAGAACTTCATTATCTTGAAGACCAAAAACTGAGATTTTAAAGCAACTGATATTTTTACTTCTCTCAATCATGCTGTAACTGAATATAGTATATTGTATAGGCTCCTTACTGAATGCAGAATGTTTTACTACGTGAAAAAAAGTCGTGACTTATGGGTACATTAAGAAATATCAATTAATTGTTTGCAAAATGCTAATTTATTGATGTATTTTAACTGTGTAGCTCCATGCAAGGGTACACTTTACAAATTATGGAACAAGTAAAGTTTTCAACAGCTTTTTTGTACTTGCATCCTCTTTAATTCCTAGTATTTTGAAATGAGTTGTTCAGAAGGTAAATTTATAAGGAATTACTTTTAAGAAAAGAAATCTTACATGAATCTAGTAGAACAAAAACATTTAGAAGCTTTAGTTGTTTGAGAACCCAAAGTACATATTTATCATAAGCAGCATACAGTATCTGCACCAAACTCCCACGTTATATATGCAGGAGAAGCCGCATACAGTACCTGCATGAAAATCCAAGGAACATATTTTAGGTACACATGGTACCTGAAAATCTGTAGCAGCCCCAGAAGTTAACTTAATAAGAATGACAAATGTCCAATGAATTTACAGTTTCTGTAGCAGGGAAGGATTAACAACAAAATAAAACATGTTTGAGTGAGCCCTGTTCTCATTTGCACAATTAAATCTGAACAGTGCGTACTCAAATTCAGCACACTAGTGACATCTGCACTATGACACCACCCCAGCAGAACCATGCACTCCAGGAGCCCTTCCCTAGACCACAGAGGAGAAAGCCAGCCATTTGCCCCTTGTGGCTGGCTTACAGATCCTGAGAGTGGTCTGCCACCCTGAGATGATAGGCTCTAATGGGCTGCTATCAAGATCAGATTACATTTATGGTGCAGTATCACCATGGTTTGGCTGAATTTTATGGTTGAACTTCACACTTCTTCAGGTTTCTTTGCACTTAATTTGTCATTTCTTAAAGGCAAACAAAATACATTTACTTTAAAAGAAAAATTTATTTTCTCAAGTCACACAGTTTTAAACAGATGTAGGACAACTTATTTCACATTTTGAGCCTTCACCAAAGCACGCACACACTAAGTCACATGTACAGTAAGTGTTTTTCTATTATAATTCTTCCTGGACTGAAATATCATTAAGGTGCATAGGCAGATGAAGACTCGCATTTTAGAGAATGGTTCATAAATCTGTATGAAAAGTGACATGTAAAAACTTTTCATGTTATCAAAGTCTTTTCACAACATAAATGTGTTTAAAACAATTCATAAGCTTGATTTCAAAACAATAAAAACCCAGCCACCCTAAATCAAATAGAACATATTACCAGTATAGTCTTCCAAAAAGATTCCCAAAACTTTAAAATAAGTTTCAAATATATACAGATTTATAACTTAAGTGCTCATTTGCTCTAATCTTTTAATCATGCAAGAGTTGCAAAAGGAGAGATGTGTTTCTTACAGAGGCTTTTCTGAAAATGCAGTAAAACTCTTCACTCGTGCAAAGAACAAAGGGGTGTACATCTTGTCAATGTCAAAAGCAGAGACTGCAGTCTCACCAGTAGATCTACAAAGAACGTTACAAAAGTGAGTTACCTTCATCAAATATAAACTGCCATTTAAATCCTTCAATCTATATTCAGGGGAGTGATAAGGAGTAATCCAGTATTTTCATAATGCAAAGTGTGCACAAAGCCACAGACACACAAGCTAACCACTTCAGGGAAGTTAAGTAGTTGATATTTTCAACCTGAGTTAGCCGTAAAAAGATTGTAACTGTGACGTGTTTTATAGGAGTTGTTCATTTGTTGGACAGCACAAGGGCTACGCATCATTTAGGTCCCAATTAAACCCTCCAAACAGGGCTTACATGGTGTATAGCCCTTATGCTAGACTTCAGCCAATGGGCAAATTTCACACTGGTGCAGAACAACAGTGTTGCACAAATCAATTTGTATAGGTCAGGAGGCTATCCTCATGTGCTAGATAGAGAACATAACTGGGAATCTAACTCTATGAGCATTAAATAGGCTAATAAGATATGATATCACTTTACTGTAGTATAGATGCATGATTCTCACTGAGGCATGCAAATATGGTATTTTTACATTAAACATTCCTAGCTATGGCTGCTTTACTAGGGCAATATCCTCCTCCTTGTATTCCAGATTCTGAATCCTATAACAGGAATGGAAAGTATAATGCAGTGTGGAATGCCATTGCTTATCGTGATAATCATTTTGTTAATAATACAAGCACATACTGGAGAGACAGGAGATAGCCAAAATACAAGTCATGCTTTCAACGTGACGTGGCATTATATATATTTGTGAATAGTTTACTAGGAACAAAAATATTTCTGCTTAGGATTGCCCAGTACAATAGATCAAATACTATTCACAAATCTTAAACTGCAAAAACTCCATGCCTTCATGTTTAGGATACTTTCCCATACTTTACATTGCCAAAAAGTAGTGATCCTGTAAGTTCTTAGAATGCTAACAAAATGCCAAACCAAGACCATAATTATTTTATTTTCAAGTCATTTGTTTAAACCACAAAACTCTTAGCACATTTTATCATTGGATAGATGAATGCTTCCGGCCTTATTACTCGCAAACATCTTGTTCTCAGTTTATTAACTTACTTGTAAGTTATGTTACAAGAATGATGTATCCAAACAAGCTTGTTGAATCTCTGACGGCCACTGGAACACAGCTGTAGTCCTACATGAAAACTGTGCTCTGTTTCTGGTACAGAAACACGGCGGAAATACCTGTATTTGTGGTAGTCAATTGGTTTCTGTACAATAAACACAAAGTTTAGTAACACACAAAGAACATACAGCACTACCATGGTTTACCATAACACTTTAAATAAGTGTGAAGACAGATCGTGAAACAGCAAAAACTCCATGTTTTCATATTTAGGATACTTTTATTTACATTGCCAAAAAGTAATGATCCTTTAAGTTCTTAGAGGAAAGAGTGATGATAAAATGCCAAACTAAGACCATAATTATTTTATTTTCAAGTCATTTGTTTAAACCTCAGAACTCTTAGCACGTTTTACCACTTCCTTATTTAGCACACATCCTACACTATGTCTCACACATAGGAAACTCTAGAATTAAGTAGTAATATTACTTGAAAAATTGTTTAACTTATACCAAGCTACATGTGGAGCAGGATTTCATAGAAAATAAAATTTCTCAAACTCAATATAGGGTTTGAGGAAAAACTGAGACTAAGTTAGCTGCATGTACAATACCACAACCCTTGTAATTACTTTGACACTACTTACTATAGGTGTTTCTTTTTTTTGTGCAACATCTGTTGTTGAAAGTTATTCCCAGTTAAATTCTTGACCAGGAATTCATTATTTAGATTCATTTATTTAATGCTGCAGAAATAAGTTTCATACAGATGAAAGGTGATGTCATAAAAAGGTCTTTGCTGCTCCTCCCACCTTTTTCTTCTTCCTCTGACTTAATTCTCATGCCACCATCTTGTGAGCTGGGGATACATATCTCTTTTTAAATTTAGCAAGGCTGTTATAAATTAATACAGGCCTTGTGTAGCAATCAAGCTTGGGGAACAGTTGGCAGAAGAGGGCTTACTGGGGGAGAAATGGTGTCTAAGTGTGAACAAAGTCATTTTACAACAAACAAATAGGCTTGGCACGATATGTTGATTCAGAGAGACTGCTTTCTTGCTTCAGAAAGTTAATATATTTTTGGAAGGAGACAAGTAAGTTGTTATATTTTACAAGTGCTCTAATGTGTGGTAATTTATCTGACATCACTTCATGCACCAAGTTCATTAGCGAGTCTCTGGTACAGTCACACCTCCATATGCTCTTTAAAGACACAATTGTGGGGAAGCCTTAAGAAAAAAAATCACACTCTCCTTACCCTCTTGTTCTCTTATTTCTCAGTATTTTATTTTGGTACCTACCTCTTCCTTCTTCTTCATTAATACAGCAAATACTTTGGTTTGATTGTCCGTATCCTGGGAGAGGCGATAATGGCCAAGCAAGATTGCATCAGTTCTGGAAGGTTAAAGGGATGGTGTCAAGCACATACTGTTAAGGATACTAGTTTTTATTTATGCTACAAAAACACCTAAGCATTAAGACTGACAATAGTTGTAAGATCTATTTTTCCTTCCATTACTGACTTGAGGATGTGAGCCTTTGGGCAAGGGAATATTTCTGTGTTTTGTAAAGCATCAGGCCTGTTGTAGGTGATGAATTATAATGTTCATAGAATTGCTTTTTAGTATTTTTCTTAAGTAGGACAGAGTAGACTAGCTAGTCAGTTTTCTTAATACAATTTCTAGTTATTTTAACTTTCAAATTCTTATGCAATAGCTCAAAACTGCATTGTTTTAGAGATGCAAACACATTTCCACAATAATTTAACAAGTTCATGGGAACGTTTCAAGGAGGAAACCTCCTTGACCCAGAGAAACTAATATTTCCTTGATTCCTTCAGCTCCTTCCTAGACGTTCACTTCTGTTCAGATAGCCTTTCACTGTTTGCCCTCTTTTCCTACTTCCTTGCCTTTCTTGGGGGGAAATCCTGAAATCACAAGACCAACAGTGCATGTCTCTTACATCTGTTCACTCTGAGTTTCTCCAGACATTGTCCAAGGCCTTGATCTTACAATCAGATGTCTGATTCCAGAATCAGGGTCTTGGTCTTACATTTTCCTGTAAAGAACTATGAATATCTCTGGCACAATAGAAACAATAAATGATGTTTCCATTGTTGTTTTTACTTTTCCTAAATCTAGAGGCTAACATGAATTAACATGGTTAAGAACTAGAATAAATTGGTTAAGCACTGGAATAAATTGCCTAGGGAGGTTGTGGAATCTCCATCATTGGGGATTTTTAAGAGCAGGTTGGACAAACACCTGTCAGGGATGGTCTAGATAATACTTAGTCCTGGGGACTGGACTAGATGATCTTTCGAGGTCCCTTCCAGTTCTATGATTCTATGAAAAGCATCCTTTTTCTGCAGGGTAAAAAACAAGGCGTGAGGCAGACAAATGTGCAATTTCAACATACCTTGTATTTTTAGTCCGTAAACGAGGAACAATAGATTGAGGATCTTCAGGAGTTGTTAGCATCATTACTTGACCATCTGGGAAGAATCTCATGTATCTGCAAAAATACAATTACACAATAAAAACCTGGAAAAAGTAGTAGACATTCTGTTTTCTCATGGGAGCCCTTCACAGAAAGGTGTAGCATTACAGGTGCTAATTCCTAGCATTTAAAAACAGATTTTCACATATTTTCAAAAGCACAGAAACAACTCATCAGAAACCAAAAGACCTGGTTTGGGAGACCACATGACCAAACTATGCAGACTTTTGCAAGACCACAGAAGTTAAGAACTTCTGTTCAGAGGAGGAATGCAGAAAAGGAGCTACTGACCAAAAGTCAAGATGAATCTTATATAAACTTTGGGAACCTTCTTCCTACCCAGTACCCACTGAGATAAGTGTAATTAGCTTTTAACTCATATTAATCTGAAGAAGTCTGTTTGATAGTGCTTCTCTACCTTAAGTATCAGATTTGAGATGTTAAGATCAGATACCAAATCTAGAAAGACAGGCTGATACTTTCCAAATCATATGAATGATTATGCGATTGACTGGTATCCTGTAGCTCATTTTAGACTCAGGAGGGGACAGCAGAGAAGAACAATTAGCTATGTGAATAGTGGAATGAGAAGGCTAAGAAAGGCAGTGAATGAGTAATTGGAAAGAGTTCAAAGGCAGATTTAAAAAACCTAGGCTTTAAATCTACTTGCTTGGTTATGAGTAAATTTAAAGGTAATTTTTATTTAATCTCTCTTTTTTTTTTTTCTTTCTGAGCACTATTTTGATGGACACAAAGAAAGGAATGATTTGGGGAGAGGGAGAAATCTGTGGCATCTTTAAAGCTCTAGTTTTACCGACATGAGCAGACGGTGCAACTGAGAAGGAAAATTAGTTTCTAAACCTACCTCTATTGACCAGATCTAACAGTATTCCTTATGGCCTTGATCCTGGAAATACTTACACCCAAGTAACTTTACACACTTAGTGTTCCACTGAGCTCAACTGAACTACTAGTGTTTACAGTATTGAGATCTATATTTGAATGAACAGTACTTTGAGAGAGGGGGAAATACTTCCCTCACTCAGTTTACTACAGTTCTACCTGTAATATTCCACTTGGTGCCATGCTCTATAGAAACCATCAAGAGACTGCTCTCCTTGACGTATGTATGTTGTCTTGCTGATGTACACACCTACAGAAATGAAGCAAATAAGAAAATAAGTACCTAAAAATTCAAGCATCTTTTAAAAGTGCATAAACATACAAGATTAAAAATTATGGCTGTATAGGTTTTCAGCTACATTTTTGTTTCCTAAAAAGGAGGAAGAAGTTTCTTTTAAAGATGATCTGCATATTCAAAACCAAACTGAATTCAGATAAGGCCTAACATTTGTGGCACTATATAATTAGACAGAAATAAAAGATTATGCAACTTTTTTCTGGCAAAATCATACGTAACAATGAAAACATCTGTTTCCAAAAATACTCCTTACCATCAAATCGAACACGGGGCCTTTCCAGAAACATTTCTCTCCAGGAGGTATAAGGAACAAGTTTATTACAGCTTCTGCCCCAAACCCTCAAACAGGCTTGACGCCAGATTTCAGGATCCCTAGTGAAGATATAAAAGCAAAACCCATAGCTTTATAGCACCTTGCTGAACTCCACTATCAAGGCACAAAAGACGAGTGGGGAACTTTAAGAACGTAGTGGTAGATGGGGTCTGGACAGAGTTAAAGGCACTTTTCTTAGACTGCTTAATTACTAAATTATTAAGCCACATAGAACTTGGAATCACTGAGGAGCTAGAAAGCCATTTTCTCATCAAAAAGTAAAACATATGAAGCAGTGACAATACAGCACAGAACTTTCTGAGTGTGTCAACCTGGCATTGCTTTGTGATGTCTACATGGTGATCAAAGTCACGCTACTATTATTTTAGGACTCCTCAACTCCATTTAACAATATATGCTCTCTTTTGTGAGCAAAGGTACTCCTTGCTTGTAAACATCATTCAAATATCACCAAAACATATTAGCTTATATTAGACTAATAGCTTCTATCTATCCAGACATTTACACCACAAACATCACTGGTGTATTTGAGCACCTGATTAGTATTATCAGGAGTTTAACATGGGACTACTCGTGAATAAGTAGAGCAGGATTTAGCCCTATAGATTTAACAGCCTAAAAGCAAAAACATTTTCTTAATACAGGCAGCTTTCCTCTATGGATTCACTACCAGTCTTTATATACCAATACTAATAATACCAACCTCTTATATAGTGCTTTTTTCATCAGCAGATCTCAAAGCACTTCACAAAGGAGGTCAATATCATTATTCCCATTTTACAGATGGGGAAACTGAGGCACAGGGAAGCAAAAAGACTTGGTCAAGGTCACCAACAGGCCAATGGCAGAGGCAGGAATAGAACTTAGGGATCTTGAGTCCCAGCACAGCACTCATCTACTAGGCAGGGTTTTTCACAAAATTATTTTTTTTTGGCAATTTTAACTGTTTATACAGCAATATACAGTCCCTGCTCACATTAAGGTAAACAAACTGTATTCTCAAGAAAATGACAATTTGATTAAGATAAATGCCACCAGCAATTTTTTAATTCCCACACTGACTTTTTTTACCTAAATAAACGTCTACGGCTATAATCTTATACTAGTAACCAGTTTAAAGACTAAGATTAAGAAAAGCTCCTCGTTCTCCACCCAAAAGAACAGAAGGTGAATATCTCACTCTATGGATAAAGTTTCAATTATACCTGGCACAAATGTAAAATCCTCTGCAGACCAGAGATAGCTGCTCTAATGACCTTAGGTCCAGATCACTGGAAACCACCCATCGAAAAATGTACATTAGCACTTCCATAGGCAGCACTGTGAACAGAAAATAATTAAGTGATCACATGGTAACATGACAATAATCAAAGAAATTATTTCCCCGATCCTATTTTTGATAGCTACCAAAATCCTGTTTTTCACAGGAAATTAGAGAACAAGTTTGACTGGGAATAGTCAACCAAATACCTTACAAAAAAATATATGATGCACTATAAAGAACTTCACATAATATACAAATGTTAAGACACGACATGGTAACAAAATATTTTTTAGATGTGGTCTTAAAGACTACACAGCTACATATCTTTTCAGGGCACAACAGGTATATCACTGATTTTATGAAACAATAATTTCTCCAGCAGCTTTAATATATAGAGAGCTCTTTGTGCACATCACACATGTAAAGTAACATTTTATTTCTTACTTAATGTTTTACATCTTGCGTGGAAGCCAAGCTGTGATGCTCTGACTTCAAAAGCTCAGTAGGTTCAGGCAATTCAGTACGTGGATGGGACACCACTAGGAACATGTATAACCTGCAGGAAGTAGTGCTGGTGAATCTACACTGTATCACTCCTCCCTCTGTCAGTAATGAGCCAATGGGATGTCAGATGGCATGGTACTGTTGAGGACTCTTTCCAATGACTTTAAACACAAATAAATCAAGATTCTGACCAAAGTTATCGACAAGTGAGATACTAAGAAAATTCTCATAAAAGTAAAGGTAGAGTAAGAAAATCCTGGGGTTTTAGCCAGAATTCCATCTACTTGCATTCCACCTCCCTAAATTTTCTCTGCAGTTTTAGCTGGATATAATCATCTTTACTACTTAACCTTTACTGTTAAGAGTGTTGCTGTATGCTATTAAGCAGCTGCTGTTTCTACTGTCCGGGGCTGAGTGATTCCTAAATAACCGTTACACCTATTTCACAAAAGGCAAGTGTGAGATTTACTCAGTCTAAACTGCTCTGATACACTTTAGTAAAAACAGCTAGAGAAGTGTAGTGTTCACCAGTGACAGATGCTGTAGTTAAGGCTACAAAACTGCTTCTACTGAATTATAACTGTTTTTATATGTTGTTTTTTGGAAAAAAGTTCTCTTTTGAATTGAAGTTTTTTGATATTTGGTCTCAGCCCTAGGTGACTTTTTTTCTGGAAAATCTGGGCAAACAGCATTTAGCCATTTGAGTAGTGAGAAAGATGAGGGGGGGAATACTTATTTTTATGACACCAGATTATTTGTTCACCTGATACAAACATCTGAACTTTGGAAGTTAAAACTCAACATGGAATTATTCCTAACTGAGGAGTCATGCCTTTGGCTCCATTTTGAAAACTTTGCTTTAATTTAGTAGCAGATACTTTCAACATACCATTTGAAGCATATGTAATTAAAAAACAGGCATATTAACAACTATATTGCTCCTATACCATTGATAGCTGTACACACATGCATGCTATAGATATGCACACATAGCAATACAGTACATAAACAGGCTCCAGTCAGTCTTTGGCAACTTAAGTGCTTAAAGGTGCATTAGCTATAACTCCTTAGAATGTAATATGCTGCTTACACAGCTAAGATCTTAAAGAAGCTTAAAAATCATGAGCCTTTGACAAACTGGCCTATTAACTTGAACAACATCAATGGTTATCATTTGATAGTCATCAGTCAGCCAAAGCACGTGAAACTGGATACTTATATTCTTTTCTCGTTTAGCAAGATCTAGGAAATCTAAAGCAAAAACTTAAGACCGCACAAGTCAATTAAAAAAGATTGGAAATGTACATATCTTCCGACAGCAATGCTAATGCAGCCCTGTTGTAAATATGTAGTAATCTTTTTATTCCTGTTTTCTTTAACATGTTACTGATTATGTTAAATGTATGCTTTATGTAGGATATGCAACATGGCCAAGTGAACATGGTACCTTAACTTTTGACTTTCCAAACTTCTCTTTATTCAGAATTGTACAGCCATAACATTGCATTAATGCTGGTTTTGCATTTCATTATAGAATTTTTGTTGCTTGCCCCATCACAATGAATATCTTCACCCACTGTAGAAAGCTATTATTTCAAATGATGTGTCCACTGTCTAGAAAATATATATAATATTAAACTAAAGGTTTTTTTAGACTTCTGGTGAGGAATGTTGTCCAGATCATAAACCTCTTATTTGCTAAAAACAAAAATTACCTATACTCTTGATGGGAAATAAAAATCTAGCATTTATGTTAAGTAGTAGAAGTCTGATCTTCCCCTGCTATCTTGCACCAAGAACTAATCATCACTCAAAAAAAAAAAAAAAAAAAAATCTGTATACTACTGCCATCCTTGATTGGGTGTTCTCTCATTCTCTGGGTCTCACTCACATTCTCATTTCTTTTTGTATGCCAGACACCAGTTATGGAAAAAAATAATAGAAATACAGCTAAAGCACTCTTTGCTGGCATTTCAAGGTTGTAAAAGTAAGGAAGTAATGTCAGTTTAGGGCAGAGACAGTGTCTTATGTGTTTACAGCATCTTGCAAACTGAGAACCTGACTTTTTGGCGCGCACACACACTCTCTCTCTCTCTCTCTCTCTTTTAAGTTCTCTTTCACATCCAGGCTGCTTTTCTCCCTAGGCCAGTGGATCTGTGACTGCTGCAGAAATGATCAATAGTGATCCTTCACCCGATTAACAAATGGATTAAAGATCAAGATTTTAGTGACTTTCAACTCTACTACAAGCAGAGCAGCAGAATAGTAAAATGCAGGAATATCATGGAGACTGAGGAAGAAATACCAACAGGAGAGGAGGGCTTGAGGCTTTCCCCCACTTAGGCTGGGATCTCATGATAATATGGTATACAAAGTGCAAGCTTCCAAATTCTTTTGGCAAAAATCCAGAAGAAAAATGGTCTTTCTAAATGGTCTGAGTTAAACAGAGAAGACAATAGAAATAGTGCCAAAGTTCTGCTGAAGTTCCATAAATTTACTCTATTTTGCTTCCTTCGAAAAGTAGTGAGGCTAAGATTTTCAAAAGCTGACCAGTGATTTTGGGGAGCCAGAATGAGATGCTTCATAGGGGTCTGATTTTCTGAAAGTGTTGAGCACCTACCCACTGAAAATCAGACCCCTCCTTAGGTGTCAAGCTGGGTGCCCAAAATGGAGGCATCCAAAAATCACTGGCCATTTTAAAATAGCGTGGCCAGAGTTTTTTAGTGTGTGTGTGAATGGATTCATTTATAACAACTGTAAAAATGTTTGCTTTCACTGAAAGGAATCTGATACTCTCCACCAGGAAATATAAAATATCCACTTCCCATAAAACAAATCACTTTAATTCACATAATTGTAGCAGACTCGTGTGTACCAGAAAATGTGAAACTGTTTCATTTTTCCAAACACAAATTCACTGTTAAGGAAAGGTATATGGCAGCTTTAAAAAAAAATATGCCAGAGGTACAATAATAAAGGTTAAGAAATCAATATTTAGGACCCACTCCTGCAAAGACTTATACATGTACTTACTTTCGCACTGGGGGTAGTCCCAATGAAGTCAATAGGACTACTCACAGTATGTAGGACTGAACACCTGCTTATGTCTTTTCAGGATTGCAGGTTAAGTGTTAAAACAGTCCTTCCATATTATATTCAAAAATAAATCAATGTCAGCCTATTCCCTCTCCCAATCCCAATAAACTGTCAGAGGTAAGGAAGACAAGTAGCATGTGAACATTCTTCCCAGGGAACAAGCTAAGTAAATTTCAAAGTGAAGTTCTAAGCCTGCAAGCCTGCATGAGTCTGCCTGCATGGAATAGCCTACAGGAACAAGGCCAGAATATGTATGAAGAAAGAGCTGTTAAACCAGTTGATGAGATTTCTTCCTATACATCTAGTTACAATAATGAACAAATAGATACCTTGAGTCATTTACAAGAAAGTTTTCTAAATTTATATTTTAGAATAAAAAGAGACAAGACATTTTATTAAAGCTGAACTCAAAAATATACCTCTAAGAATTCCTTCCTTACAAACTTATGACATAATTAATCTCACACCTGAGATATGAGTCTGACTGACATCAAGATCAGGCTGACAAAGTTTGACTGAGGATTCCTGAAGAGCGAGCTGCTGCTGAAAGTAGGACAAAAGATCAGCCATCTTGCCATCATCATCACCATCCTCAATGCTAAAGTAAAGAAAAATAAAAGAAAACCTGAGACTGGAACAAAACATGCCAACATCTAGTATTCACACTGACCTTTTCTTCTCATTTGATATGATTTCTGATTTGTACTTTGTAATTACTGTGTTTCTTAAGATAAAAGTTCAGTCATTAAGATTTCTTATCACATAATGATAATCTAATTTGCCAAGAAAAAAAAGAGGCCTAATCAGGTTTATTTAGGTTTTGTTAAAACAAGGATGTCTTTTTAAGAGAGTATGATATTAACAGAAATATTTCTGTAGTTATCTTTCTTTTAATCCCAAACCAAGCAGTTTCACTGTTTGGATTTTTACATTCACCTGCAGTACGTGCAACACAATCATTGAAGAACTGTGCTAGTCTATGAGCAGCAAAATATTAAAGCAATTAATTTATTTTTGTCATCTAAGATGAAGAGCACATAAGTAATAAAACAGCAGCATTACCAGTGAAAAGTAAATTATATTTGTATAGAGCTCATTATAGTAATTATTATAAGGATTTTTTGGGGGAGGGTGTCACTTTTTACTTTTTAAAACTAATAGTGTCCCTTTGTGCTTTTCCTCATCAACATATTGATCTCTAACGCTCTTTGGCCCAATTAATATTATTCAATTATTCACTTAATGTAGAATAACTTCAATATAGGAAATTGAGGCCCATCAGAATACCCCATAGCCCAGTGGTTAGGCAACTCACCTGAGAGGTGGCAGATCGCTGCTCAAATCCCTTCTCACCCTCAGGAGGAGGGAGTACTTGAACCAGGAATCTCCCACATCCTAGATGAGTGCCTAATCACTGGGCGGAGGTCCTCCTACATACCCCCCCCCCCAACCTGTTGTGTTTATTCACCTGAGGGGTCCAATCCAGTAGGCACCCTCTGAACATGCCCACCAGATCAGGTCCCACATGCCACTCAGGAGGCTGAACAATTATCTTCCTCAGTTTTCTAGCCCACGAAAGTTTATGCCCAAATAAATATGTTAGTCTCTAAGGTGCCACAAGGACTCCTCATTGGTTTTGCTTCCTCAGTTTGTAAATCAGAGTACTTGCTCAGAGACAAAAACTTAGGCACTGAGTGAGTTCAGGTGCCTACAGGGTACAGTGGGAATTCTGTGGATCGCAGTGATGCCTAAAAACAAGACTTAGGTTCCTAAGTGCCTTCATGGATTGCTCCCTATGCTAAAGGGTTAATGAACATTGTTTAATATGCTATAAAATTACATTACTGCAACATAAAGATTAAATCTGAGTTCTCTACAACAGGTGCAACCATTCTACACAGGTGTGTACAAGTAGCCACTCAAACCACATGACTCTACCTAACCTTACTCATGAGGTGCTGCGTATATTATTTTTGATTACCCTTAAGACTAACAAGCTCTCTGTGAGAACACACAGTTTGTGTAGAACTTCCAAAAGCTTACTTATATTTTTCTTTTGCATGTTTAGTTTAATTTTAATTGGGATGGGTTTAATAAGGGAAGTGATGGAATAAAAAAAGCTCCAACTCTAGATGAAAGAGCTAGAAAAGGATCTTTAAAATACTGTAAAGAGAAGACAGAACTCTGTTTTGGCCTTCTAGGCCTAAAACTCTAGTAAGATGTTGTGGAGAAAGGGAGTGATAATTGATAAAACAGTGTTCATTACTTACCTTGTATTACTGGAAGAGATGACAACTATTACAGAACATTGTTATAGTAGCTTGTTATACTTTTTTGCTGGTGTGACACAGATAACTTCTACAACTTTTTAGTTTAGAGAGCAGAAGCACTAATAGTGCTAACAAACATTTCTAGAAAGGCATACTCTGCAGATGCTACTTTATAAAACAAATAAGGGGGCAGGATAAGAAAGCTGGCTCCAGCCCTGGTATCACCTGGAGTTGGGGAGGGGCAATAAGAAAAAAAAAATTTGAAAGACCACAAGGAAGTTCATGTCCTCATCAATAGACTGAACTGACTAACGGAGAGTCGCTCAAAGGGGAGGGAAAATACTAGGAATATAAAAGAACTTTATAAAACTCTACTCTATAATCTAGTATTTTTCTTACCTCACTGTGTGATGTTAATGGGGGTTCACTTAAATACCCAGATAATCCTATACTTGGCTATTATCCTAAGAGGAAAATAAGTCTAACTGCTACATATGTACAAGCCTACAAGTGCAGACTCTTTTGATACAACAGTGTAACTTTCAAGAATCAATACGTCAGCTCTTACTAGCCTAAAAATGATCCTGCCTGCATAGCTTATAGATCTGAATCTCTGAGTAAAAAGTAATATGGTGGCTTCTGTATTTTTAAATCACCTAGTAACTATTTTCTGCTAAATTATTTTAATCCCTCAATTTAAGTTTGAATTGGCTCCAAACAAATTAAGAACTGCGTCTCATTGTATTGTTTGGTATAAAATGTGTTCCCAAGCCCATTAAAGGATCTATATAACTTTCCATAATGCATGCTACTAATTAAATTGAAGTTAAACAAAAAGATGCTTCTCAAACATTAGGTGACTATATTACAAACAGATAGGTGGCACCTTAATGAATGTCTTTGGATTAGAAACAAAATGTGTGCACTCCTGTGCTGCTCAGTGGTAAACTTGTCATACTTACTAGCTCTTTCCAACACCATCACCTTCCGGAGACCACGTATAGGTGATCTTAAACTCTATATCAGGTACAAGTTGCATGGCTAGACGATAAAACTTGATGGCTGAAAACAGAGGTAATATTTACAACTTGGAACACATTTAATGCCTACTCTAGTGATCAAAACTGAGCTTCTCCCGAGACATGACTTTAGCTGTAACTGTACTGTAACTAAGGCCAGGAAGGCTCTATAGCATTACACTTTTTAAAAAAATCATTTTTTTCTAAGTGGCAAAGCTGCTCATCAGGGTGCCCAATTGGACACTAATCCCATCCCTCCCAGTTGTTTCTTTACTATCCAATTTAACCTAAAGCAATTAGAATAAAAATGGTAATCTTAGCAGGGAAGATGGACCTATCTGACACATTTATCAGGGCTTGAAAATCCACTTGCCCCTTTTGTGGAGGACACATACCATCAGCTTCTACATAATTAATTTTCATTCAATATCTTCTATGGGAGTGCCAGTTAAGGCTTGATAGGTAAGGGTGTTTTATACACTTAAATTTCATAAAGGCCTGATTTTTTTCCCAAAGATGTTGGGCACCCAACAACTCTTACTCGCTTCCAATGTCCATAAAGTTTCTATGTCTTTATGGTTGCAAAGAGCTTTGCCCAAATCTGAACTGAGCGTGAAAGGATGACAGCAGTGCACTGGAAGTCTGCAGACAGATGACTCCAGTATCAGATGCTTTCAGATCAGTATTTCAGATGCTCATAACTTTACCAAGCTAAAGCAGAGTAAAAACGCTGCTATTCAGAACCCTTGTAGGCATCAGTGACATGGACAAGAATCAGGTCAATTTCACTTTGCTGCTCAGTGGCAAAGCAGCAGTAGTGATGGCAGGCACTGGAGCTAGTCACTGGGAAGGATATCTCATTCAAAAGTGCAGAGGCAGCAAGAAAGCTGAAAGAAATATAGAGGAGCAGAGACCATCCCAAAATCTTTGCAAGCAGCCATAAGGCTCTGCAATGAGATGAGGAACAGAGAATTCTCCATCTGTTCCTAGCATCCAGAGAGGATACTTCCAATTTCAGACATTTACTAACCAAAGGCTGATATCCAGACTGAGTGTCCCTGAATAAGAGTTGGGAAAAGCACCCTAGTAGGAATACTAGAATCTGCATCTCTTCTATTAGCAGGGCATGGGGGGGGGGGGGGGGGGGGGAGAGAGAGAAAGCAGGCTGATTTTTCAAGTGGGTATTGCCTTTAGGGAGTAAGGACCAACTATATAAAGGGACTTAGGTGTTGCAAGCCAGCATGGTAGTGGGGAGACCCCCAAATTAGCCAACAAGAGATGCCAATGAGAGAGGCGGGTCCTAAGCCCCACCCTGCCCCTCTCACAGAGATAGGTACCTAAGTCCAGGCAGCAGGGAGGTGCCTATCTCTGCTTGTGATCCACACCTGGGAACCCTTCTCTTGGAGTCAGATGGCTTATTTCTTGTGAGAACAAGTTAGGTATCTGCCTCACTCCACACAAAATGGCTGAAGGAGGTGCTGCTGCACACCTTAAACTTTTAGTCTAGTGTTGACAGCACTCATATGGCATGTGGGAGACCAGTTCAATGTCCCACTCCACTTGAGGGGGAGAGAGGACTTGAAAAGGGGTCTCCCACCTCTCAGAGTGCTCTAACCACTGAGATATGGGATATTCTGATGTTGAGCTCCCTCAATCGCTCCTGTTGAAGTTGTTCCTCTTTAGATAAATAATAGTCACTGGAGCAGGGGGACTGGAACATGGGTTTCCCACTTCCCTGGTGGGTGCACTAGCACTAGGCTATAAAGTTATTCTCTCTCTTTCATGCCCCACTTCCCTGATTTTGAATGGGACTCAATCCCATAGGTGGCCTCTGAGCATACCTAGCAGATCAGGCCTCATGGCTAAAACAGGTGCTCCTCTGCCTATCTTCCCCCACTTTGTGGGTCACACTGCGGCTCAGGTGTGAGGTAAGTGTCCAGACACCTAGTCTGAGGCAGCAGTGTGCACGCCCAGAGGCAGAAACTTAGGTGCCGAGGGAACTTTTAAAGTGAACATTTAGGTGCCTGCAGGGATTCAGTGGATCACAGTGGCTCCTAAATCTGGGGTTTAGGTGCCTAAGTACCTATGTGGAGCTGGGCCCAAGGCCTCTGTATTTTGTATTTCTCTTTACCTAGGGGTTTAGTCCTCTAGCTACTGGGTGTCAGAGAAAATTTCCATGCCCTGTCTAGAAATGTATAGAAAGAAAGAGAGAGCAGGGAGACTGGGTCTGGGTGGAATGAAGGGAGAAAGAAAACAAATGAAGGGGAAGAGATAAGGGAATGGAGAGGGAGAAGGAAAAGTGTTAAAAGACATTGAAGACAAAGCTCTCTTCCTGTGTTAGTGTCTGCTTACAGTGTGAGAGCTGGAATGCACCAAGCCAAAAGTGACTGACCAGTTAAGTTTAGCACGTGTATATTTCACTTGTTTCTATTTTAACATTTCTTGAGTAAAGGACTAGGATTTATATAGTTCCACTCCTCTCTGGAGCTTGAGAAGGTAAAAGCCAGAGAAGGAAAAGGCCTGGCATGTAGGAGAAGGGGAGAAAAAGATTGCTACTAAAACAACCCAGGAGGATACCCCAAAGATCAGATAACTTCTCTGAAGTCTATGGAGAGATCGCAAGAACCTGCTTTAGAGCAGACCTGCAGAGCTAGTCTTGATTCTCCTGTGCACTATGCACTCTGGGCTATATACATAAAGGGACTGTGTGGCAATGCTGAGCATTGCAACATCTAACTTTTAGGCTACCTGCTGCCCAGTGAGATCCTTACCCTGTGTGGTGGGGCGGCTGCCCCACGCACGGAGAGTGTGGGCTGGGGCAGGCCCGGCTGCCTGCATATCCCGGCAGCCAATAAGGGAAAGGCTTGTTGCGAGCCAATCAGAGCCCAGATTGGGGACGGCCAATCAGGGCCAAGCTCAGCCATATAAAAGACTGCTCAGGGAGAGAGCAGTCAGTCTGTCCCAGGCCTTCAGAGGGGAAGGTCTGTCTTCAGAGCTGGGAGGCTAGCACCACAGACAGCGCAGTGCAGGCCAGCCGTGGAGAGCGGGAGAAGGTCCTACTCCGTAGCCTGCCAGGCGACCGACCTGGAAGGAAAAGGCCTAGCAGGGAGAAGGGCCCTTGGGGAAGCGGTCCAGAGGAGCAGTCAGAGGAGGAAGGAGGAGGAGGACAGCAAGGCTGTCGCTAGAGGGCCTCTGGACCGGGACTCAGAGTAGTGGGTGGGCCTGGGTCCCCCCCTTTTTGTTCCCTTTAGCCATACACTCAGCCATAGGCCGCAGGGAGCGGCCAGATGGAACCACGCCAGATCCTGGACTGTAGGGATCGGACTTAAAGGTGTGGGACTCTTGATCATCCCCCCTCCCCCGGAAGGGGGTGTGAATGGATAGAAGGACACTGTTGGAGGGCAGTGTTCCAGAAAGAGGACCCTGTGTGTCGGGAGCACAGCGGGTCCACACGCCAACCCCTGGCGGGACGACAGACGGGACACCACCAGAAGGAGGCGTTCTACTGGATCGAATCGATTCCCCGAGACGACCAGTAGGAGACGCTGCGGTGGTGAGTCCCAACCCTGTCACACCCTGGAATCAGGTGTAACACCAACAGACTTTGGTAGTCGGTGGGCAGACTTGAACCTGGAACCTCAGGAGCTAAATGCATGAGCTAAAAGCTTTAGTAGACTCATTAATCGCTCTCTAAATGGTCTCGGTACCACTACCCAGGGGGTGTGTGGGTTAAACAGGTACTCAGGCTTCCTATAAAATACATGGTGAGTTAGGTACATAAGAAAGGGATTCACAAAAGGCAGCAAGCTGATCTGACAACCTGTAAGCTAGCCAGTAGTTAGATGCCTATCTCTGCTGGGGATTCACAGCTGTGACCCCTCTTCTGGATGTAGATGCCTAAGCCAGGTCAGCCCTCTTTCACAAAAAATGAGTGAGGGAGATCCGTTACTCCATTATAGCTAGGCTTGACAGGATTCTATTTAGATACATGTTAGTAAATGTTACTGTCAGCTGACATACTGAAATGGATGGAAAAAATATCCATTGGTAACAGCTGGCATGAGTGCAGCCTTCCTTGCACCTGTAGGAATTCAGTATCACCACCCCACTCTTTCCCTCATTAGCTAGGAGCGTGGGGACCATCCCCATTCAGGAGCTAACAGCAGAGTGCCCTCTCCAATGGCAGGGGGCTTGTCCTCTTCCTCCTCACAGTCCTGGTCAGGGATCTCTGCTCTGCCCCACCATGCCTGCAGCCTTCTCTGCACCTTGTGTCTCCAGACATCAGGTGTCACTGGTTCTAAGGCAGAGCAGGGAGCCCTCTGCAGCTGCACTGTCATGGCCTCACTCCCTCATTCACCAGCTGAATGTGCATGATTGGAGCTGTTCAGCAGCAAGGTGGCCTGCCTAATGGCAGGAGGTTCATCCTCATCCATCATGATCCTGGGAGGACCAGAACACCTTCCTGGTGAGGCTGAACATGTGGCCAGGCCAGGATCATTCAGGGTGGGAGGAGTAGATGCTTGTGTGGCAAAGTGCTACAGCAGCTGCCAAACAGTGCTGGAGTTGCAGATCTGACTGATTAACACAGTGTGCTGGAGTCAAAGTTCAGGAAGAGCACGAAAGCAATTACATTTATGATAGGGGCTCAACTGCACCGGTTCAGTAACAGAGGGTAAGTTTTTGTCATTTTATATCAGTAATGAATCAAAAGAAACACACTAGAGGAATACTGCAATGTACACCTTGACCTCAAATTCAAAATGAAAGTCTGGAAAAGAAGAGGATCTTTTGCACTGCAAAGTTTGTAAAACAGAAATCTCTGGAAAGGCAGATTGTATTGCTGAACATTTGAACAACGTCTCATATGAAATTGAATTAAAGTCAAGCAAAGGTAGGCCATGCTTCAACAGAAGCCTGTTTGGAAGAATGAGACAAAAGAAGGAAGAAACTTCAGATTTTCCACACAATCTGGTACAGGCGTAGTATTTTCACATGATTCCAATGAATGATGTCTGAGGTTTGAGCTTTGTAATAGTTCTGCTT